TTATTTTAATAATTTGCTATTTATGTTTATCTTGTTGTTGTTGTTATTCTTGGTGTTGTTTTTGTTGTTGTTCTTGTTGTTTGGTTCTTTGTAGTTCTTCTTGATACAATCATTGTTGCTCTATTTCTTGTTTTTCTTTATCTTCTTAATTAATTAGCTAGAAGCATTCTAGATAGTATACCTCATTGCAAAAAAAGAATACGCTTTTTGCAAATTGGTGATGGTTGTTGAGAGTTTTGCAGTTGATCATAATCCAGCACTTAGAGCATGTATAGATGTGGATTTTGGGAGCAGAAGAGGTTGAGATAGTTGTTGATAATGAAGCAAAGCTTTGTTCAATTTTTCAGTATTTTTTTGTTTGCCTTTTTTGCTAATTATAAAGGCTAAGAAAGTTGATATATGGATAGTATTGGTAGAGGAATAGAACTGTGTGTAGAAGTTACCACAAAAATATTTAACTATAGTAGTTATATGTGGCGCTTTGAAGAAGTATGTTGCTTTAAGTGTTCTGGTATTTACAGAAATACAGCTTAATAGTCTGAATTGAAAGGGACTGTTCGGACTTTATTAGATTTATCAGTATAGATGGCCACATCAAAAGTTTTAGCAAAGTTTGTGTAAAAAGAGTCAAGATCAAGTATGTCTAGTTTCTGGATAATAGAAATGGGCATGTTGTTGGTTTTGTTTAAAATATATTGTGTTTTTCAAAAATATAAATAGTTAATTAATTAAGTTTTCAGTTAGTTGCTAATTTCAAGTATAATTGCAGAGGTCTATAGGTTTGTAGAGATATTATTGCAATTACTACAGCTCGTATAACCTTGTATAATCTATTGGGTCTAGGATTTCACAAGTCACATATTGCACAAGTCATATATTATACAGGTCACATGTTATACTAGTTGCACAATTGTTGTAATTCAAGTAATATTGCAAATTCTATTGTAGAATGAGCAGTGATTATAAGTGGTTGTTGTATAAGGACCAAATTAAAAATAGTTGCCAAAAAAGGATTGATTATGCAGGTAATATATTAGAGTATAGACAAATTGGATTAGTAAGTCTGATTATTACACAACAAAGATTTGAATAGGGTAAACTAAAAGAAAACTTTTTGGAATTAGAGAAAAAAGAAAAAAGAAGTTTTGATGTTATTTGGCCTAGAAATATCAATTTTAGGTTAAAATTGACATACTATAGCTTGTTGTGAAGCTATAGATGAGCTCTATAAATTCTATTAAGGTATGTAGGGTATTATTAAGCCTAGTTTGCTGGAAGAGGCAAGACTTTGGGGAGAGAACAGACTTTTGTCTGTCTGACTTTATAAGTCAAATATCTTAGAACTGACAAGAGACTTGAAACTTTATGAGTAGATGTAAAATTAATAGCTGAACAAGTTTGTTTAAGGACTAAAAGGTTGTTAATTTAATAAAGTTTTTTATAAATTAAGAAAAATATAAAAAAATTTTAGGCAAAATTTTGTATATAAGTGATAGATGGAAAGAGTTTTTTTTATAAAAGTATGATCAAAAATTTTTGACAATCTTCATATACTAAAAATTATATTAAAACCTTTTGTAGAAGTGATTGCATTGCTTGAAAAAAATAATACTTGTTTCTACTATATGCTTATTGGTTTTAGATATTTCAGTTAAATCTTAACTACAAATAAAAATAATAATCAAGAAATTCAAAAATTTAAGTTAGTAATGAACAAGCATCTCAAAAAATATTGAAAGAACTAGAAACAGCCTCTTCTTCTATTGGCATATTTTAAAACTGATCTTTGATTGAGCTATTTGAATTTAAAAGCAAATAATCTTTTCTTTATAAAATTATATAGATATGCTCAAATATATTATAAAATATGAACAGATATAAACCACAAATGCTTGCTAATAAAATGACACAGTATCATGATCAAGTATTTCCATTTGATTATAGTCAGACTAGACAATTCAAAAACAAGCTATATAATTTTGGAAGTATATTGAGAAAGAGGCACCTGAGCTTGCATTTATTAGCAAACGATTACATTCTATTGTAGTTAATTCAACAAGTATTGAATATTTGTTCAGTGATATAGGATTTATTTATTCAAAATATCGAGTTTGCCTTAATGAATAAAAGCTTTGAAAGTAGCACAACTTTGAGCTAACCAATGAAAAGAATGTATACAAAAGCCAAATAAAAAAAAGCTTAATAATTAGCAAGTACATTTGCAAAGAGATAATTTACAGCCTATTAATATGAATACAAATAATAAAGTATCAACTAATATGGAAAATGAAGTATCAGTTAATATAGAGTCTAATATTAATAAAATAGTTGAAGAGATTGATAATACTGATAAAGAAGTAGAATCTGATCTTATTTTAAGTAAATCTGATTATAATCAGGCTGTTAATGAATAGTTTATAGAATTAGATGGTGAAGTATATGAAACAGATTATGACTTAGATAATATCGAAGCATTATATCTAGCAGATAATCCTTAGACAAAATAGAATCTAAATTCTCTTTTCTTATCTTTATTTTCTTCATATTTGCCAAATATCAAGCTTTAAAATAATAGAGTAATTAGCTTTATTAATCATTAGAATAGTGACACAATAAAAAAATTACTGCATAATTATGCAATACTTCATGTGCTATTAAAAGTAATAATACAAGTATACTGGTTCTAAATTTAGACATTTATTTTATTTAATACAATATAATAAATTAATATTAAATTCAATAAGCATACAATAAATTTGATAAGCAAATAAATTTAATAAGCAGCACTTTACATATTTTATTTATATATGAGTTCAGTCTTATTTTGTTTTTGTTTTTCTTGTTTTTTGTTTTATTTGATTAGGTGGATCGAATTTGAATATCGAGGTATTACTCTTTTTTTTATTGCCTTTTGATTCTTGTTTTGGTCTTTTCATTTTTAAAAAAAGAAAAGATAATACTGATATGGCATGTGGTACTAGCCAATGATCGAAGAATTCATACTTCTAGTAAGTTAGAAGCTCAGAGTAAAGCAAATAGCTACTAGATGATGTCATATCTAGGCTTTTAAGTTGAGTGAGTCACTTGTTGTGATTAAAGAGAGAATAACTATAGTTAAGAATTTTTGTAATTTTTGCATAGTTAATATCTTAATAAAAACAGTAGCAAAATATGCTGAAATAAAAAATATATTATATATTACTAATTAATAACTTTAATAATTTTATTTACTATTATTTAAAAATATATAACAATTATTATCATCAATAATCACACAACTTTCACTAATAATTACTTGTACTAACTTTTTACCAAAAGCAAGTAGAAGACTCAAGACCAGAAGTTAACAACAACTTGAAGTTTACTTAATATAAACTGTTGTCAATGAAGTCTTTAAATATGATATACCAAGAAGTGAGCATTTGGATAGTTTGCAAAGAGATCAAGCCTTTTTTTCTCTTTGGTAAACTCCTTTTTGTATTTGGTATCCAAATTGGAGAAGTTTCTGGAAACAGTAAGTAAAAAGTAAACTCAGATTTATTTAAAGACCGAAGGCTATAAAGAACTCTTAGAAGAACACTCTCTAGTTAGAAACTTGCAAAACTATAACTATTCTTTTGCCATTTTCTTTTTTTCATAATTTTTGACAAAAAGTAGAAGATTTGGCTTACTCTCTCCAAAAGATCAGTATTGTTTATTACTTCTATTTTCAGAAAGTTACAAGTTTTGATATGATGATTGGGAAACAAAACAAATCATGTGTGAGGAGTAAAGTTAGTTTTAGGACAGTTCTAAAATTAAAAGCTTTATTTTTTAGGGTGTGGCGACTTAGTGAAGTGGTGAAGTTGTCGCACCCCCAAGCGGTTGAGTACAAGTTCAATTCCCACTGG